TCCAGTACCCTTGAGGACATTTGAATAATATCATTAAAAATATCACAAACATTTGGGGATGAGTTATACTTTGGAATGTACTCAATAATCAAATGGTACAGCTGACAGCATCTGTTACTCAAATTGCTGGAAGTAGAAATAAATACACAGAATCACCATCTTTTTTTTTTTTTTTGAGATTAGGGTCTCTCACTCTGTTGCCCAGGTTAGAGGGCAGTGGTGCCTTCATAGCTCACTGCAACCTCAAACTCCTGTCTCAGTGTCCCAAGTAGCTGGGACTACAGGTGCGTACCACCACGCCCAGCTAATTTTTGTATTTTTTGTAGAGTCGGGGGTCTCGCTAACTTTTGCTCAGGCTAGTCTCAAACTCCTGGCCTCAAGCAATTCTCCTGCCTCAGCCTCCCAAAGTGCTAGGATTACAGGCATGAGCCACTGGCCCAGAATCATCATTTTAATTTAGAAAAAACAATGCTATTTGTTATGTCCTGCCCAACACCCTAGGTCACAGTGGAATAATTAGTCACATCTATTTGCTAGGATGACCTTTAAAGATTGTTAGGAGACACAGAGCTGCTGTGTCATTTCTATAAAGAATTCTATCTGAAATGCAGGTGGGTCTCTGATATACCAAACTAGCAAGCTAAGGTGGGCTCTGCCTTTTTCCCACGTTTCCTTCCCATGCCTTCCTACTCCTACCTGTAAAGGGAGATACCCTGCAAAATAAAAGCCCCCATAGTTTATGAAAATGTCTTACCAGGGTCTTCAATCTTCTGGGTTTTCTCACCTAAGTTACAAAAAGAAACTTATCTGTTTTAACAATGGAACAAAAGAACTGGGAGTTACTATAGCTACAGCAAAACTATTGTCAGGTAATATTGCCATAAAGAACCATTTTGTATATCCAGTAAACTACTGCTACTAAATTTAAATGTTAGCCAGAGTCTAAATATACCCTGGCTGATTGGCTAGAACCTTCCTCTGGCCCCCTCTATTAAAAAAAACCATCACATATAGCTAGTCTCCTGGGAATCTCAAGGAACCCAAAAATGTCTACTTTGAAGAGTGAGTTGAGGTCCCTGTGAAGTAATCAGTAGATTCGTGACTGCAGTGGGCCAATAGAAAGAGGGGTTGCTAAAAGCAAGTTTTCAGGGGCATAAAATGTTTCACCTCTTAGTATCTTCCCAAACATGAAATAAATTGCATGTTTAAGGAAAGGCTGGATCCTTTGCTCTCTTCAACAAAGAAAAACTTATTGTAGCCATATGGGCGAAACACATAATAATGAACTTACATGCAAAGAAATGATTTGGGCCATATCTCGCTAAGTGGAAACATTTTTTTAAAAAAGCATCTTATCACCCAGATGTTTTAGTTAAATGATACAAAATGTCAAACATCAGCAAATTTGAGAGATGCAAATTGTGCGAGATGCAAATTGTGCTGAGAGTTTTCTATTTTTATCTTCTGAAAGAAACTTTCCCCAGAAAGTTTCCATATCATTCAGATCTCTATAGAGCCAGCTCTCTCATTGGAGGTATGTAAATTTCTCCAGCACAGGTTTTCTCCCCCAGCCCCCATATAGTCCAAGCCACTGCTTTGTATTTGCGAAGTACGCCTTTTTGTGAGCTAACAGATGCCATCTGTTAAACAAGAAAGAGCTATTAAACATCCACGTAAGAATCCCATTTAGAAAGCAGAGCATACTCACCAGCATTGTAGACATAGATGGGTTGAAAATATTCTGAAATATAAACATGTTTTCATTATGTGGTACTATGCTCAGATGGGAATGTCAGGTTCAGGCTATTGTTAAACACTTACTAATAATAAAGATTTCAGTTGGCTTACATTTAAGATACATAAAACTACAGTTGTAAGAAATATAAAATTTCAAATCAAAGACAAATGGATATGGATTCATTTTAATTACATGAAAAAGAATCCATGGATAAACTAGCCAGGAAGACAGCTAGAAACAGACCTCGATTTTCAAACATTTTAATAAGAAAATCTTCAAAAGGATCCGTCCAGAGCATGCATCAGTCCAAAGGCACATTCTGGCAACTTTGGTTCACACCTATCGGGCCTATTAAACAATGCTGTTCCTGAACAATTGTGGAATTTCCCATCTGCCTTCCCAAATCTTTCCCACAGTCCTCTAAGACAGATTACTTTTTGTTACATCCTATTTTTCCCCAAGGAAGCTGGAAGAGACCACATCACCATTCTGTCATCCCATCCTCCCTCCATGAGCCACATTCATGCCTTTCTTCATCAGTCTCCCAAATGTTATTTCCTAAGATATCCAAATACAGGAACAGGAAGTAGCTTTTTGCATAAGAGCCATGTGGAAACGGCTGAAGCTGTAGGGCACTGAGAAGTCCTTAAATCCCTGTAAGGCCAGGCTAGGGTGAGGGGTGCACGTTCCTTGCATGCCCAGGGCAAGGCAGTGTTTGAGAGAAGAGCCACAGGCAAGCCTGGGGGCGGGAGCGGAAGGCGTGCAGCAGTGACCCTGGGCTCTCGACCTGAGAAGGTGGTGGCAGAACACAACGCAGCCGTGAGAAGATGACGGCTGACAGTGCGCCAGTACGGCGGGGAGGCAGCTCTGACCCCATCTACGAGAAACAACACCGATAAAATCCCCATTGCAGAAGTAATACTTTAAAGCATCTCTTACCGAGGTTCTCAACACAGTTTTCGGTTTTGAGCCCTGTAACACAAAGGTAAAGCTTGATTAGTTAAACACGACCTACCTTAATCAAGATTTCAGATGGTCTGCAGCTACTGGTAATCTAATCCATCAACTACTAGTATCAGACCCATGATTTAGTGGGATGCAAACTGCAGGAAAATTATATTTTTGTATTTATAGCGCAGCCACCAAACAGCGGTATGACCTTTGACAAAACATCTGACCCTTGTGAAATTCAGTTTCCTTACCTGTATCTTTTACGAGGAGATTGCTTCAAATGATCTTCAAAAGTAACACTTTCTCATTCTATTCTATGATTAGTTTGCAAAAGTTAGGAGAAAACTTACCTGTCCACTTACTCCTCTCTTCAGATACTAAATGTCCTCAACAGCAAATCTATGCCTCTACTATGTCAACTCCTATTCTCTGGAGAAAAAGCACCTCAATAAGATCTTCAAGATCCTTAATAGATGAACAAAAATCCTTCGCACTCGTACACAGAAACAGAGTTGGTATGCCTCAGAACATTCATTTGTATGTGAGGAAATCCACAATTTTTGGAGAACAGGAACATGGCACCTAACGGTACCTTTGTAAGGCCCTGGACCTTCTCACTGGTGATGCCCTGGACAAAGCCATCGGTGCTGCAGTGATTCCCCTGAGAACTGACAGAAAGGAGATCTGCCAGCCTGCCCAACAGCAGTTAGGCAAGAAAGTCAGTAAGAAAGCACATAGATTTGGTGCCAGTATGAGCTGTATGGAAGGCTTTCCAGAATGCACCATGAAGGTCTAGATGCTTTATTGTCTCTTCTCCACACCTGGCTAACTTACTGATCTAATCTGGAAGTTCAGCTACCTGAGGGATGAGCCTCTTTACCTAAGACTGGGGAGTCCCTGAGAGGCCTGGCTCTACTATGAGAGATGTGCTCTTCCAGTCTTGTTAACAAGTCCTGCTCTATTTGTGGAGTTTGAACCAAAAATCCAGGTGACTTGGTCCAGATTTTACCGGTCCAGGGTATAACGAATATGGATGGTGTCCTGAGGCTACACTCAGGCATTTGGCCATACTAGAAATTTTTTTTTTTTTTTGAGACAGAGTCTCACTCTCTTGCCCAGGCTAGAGTGCCGTGGCATCAGCCTAGCTCACAGCAACCTCGAACTCCTGGGCTCAAAGGATCCTCCTGCCTCAGCCTCCCAGGTAGCTGGGACTACAGGCATGCGCCACCATGCCCGGCTAATTTATATATATATATATATATTTTTTTTTTTTAGCTGTCCAGCTAATTTCTTTCTATTTTTTTTCAGTAGAGATGGGGTCTCACTCTTGCTCAGGCTGGTCTTGAACTCCTGAGCTCAAACAATCCACCCGCCTCGGCCTCCCAGAGTGCTAGGATTACAGGCGTGAGCCACCACGCCTGGCCCAGACTAGAAATTTAAAAATCAGTTCTAGAGGCTATTACAAAATGTTGTCTCAGCAGTAGAAACGTGTAAGCCTCACCCAGGGAGCTTAGTTGAGGGTGAGGTGAAAGTGAGGAGAATCGTAGATGGGAAGGCTACAAAGATAACAGAAAGATGCAGCCTGGGGTCTGGGCATTAGAAGGATTTTAAGAGCCTTTGTCTTTTGTCTGTAGCACAAGTTAGACTATGTTTCTCAAAGTGCAGTTTTCTAGCCACATACTTCAAATCACCTGTGTGCTTATTAAAATCGAAAATTCCAGGACCCTAGCCAGGACTATGATAGAGAATTTCTGGAGGGGATGCCTTGTAATCTGCATTTTAAACAAGCACTCCGAGTGATTTTCATGCAAGAATTTTTTGAGAGCCTCCTAAATAGTAGAGGATGGGTATCTTTAGTGTTTAACACAGATCCATTTTGTCAGATTGCATTTCTCCTCCCTATTTGACTCTAGATTTAATTTTCCACTAGTATTTTCAACATCAGAAAAGTAATCAAACTATTTTGAGTTTCTAAAGTTGTATGGGATTAAAAATGGACAGGAGATTGATCCAGAAATAAAAGAGAGAAGGCACAAATATATAAGGAATAAAAAAGGGAACATAACATTGAGCAGATATAAAAAGATATAAGAATGCTATGACCCACTTTATGCCTATTAAAATTTAATATACAAAGACAAGTGGACAAATTCCTTTAAAAGAATATAACTTACCAAAAATAACTCAAGAATAAATAGAGAACTTGAATGGTATTATTACAACCATTAAGTAGTTTAAATCTTTTCCAAAGAAAATACCAAGATAATCTGGTTTTTCCCGTGAATACTAGAGAGAGGGGAATGGCACAAAGAACTCCTAAGACCTGCAGAGGGTTCCCCTCAAGTATTCAGCAAAGTACTGATTAGTTTTTAAGTGTGAGAAAACTACCCACGGGCAGAGAAAGAAGCCCTACAGTCAAGAATAGTGCACACTTTCATCAGCCAGACTGGAAAACCTTATAATTCATAGGCACTGGGTAGAGTATTCAGAAAATTATAACCTCAGGAGTGAGAAATAATTAGACCTGGATGAAAGTGACTCTGGTTCTGACTAAAAAACTGCAAAGCAAGCTCTGTAAGAATCAAACTGTTTTCAAGAAACTTAACTTATGTGCCAGAACAAAGCTCAAGAATATTTTTAGAAATACGAGACCATGCAAACTGTAACTTTGGGTCTGCACGTGAAGTCTAGCTCCTACAACTAAAGCCCGTTTGGGTCCACGTTAACACCGGCAAGGATGCGGAGGAAGAGGAACTCTTATCACTGCTGGCAGCAATGCAGCTGCAGAACACAGACAAGATGAGATGGATGTTCTCCTGTTACCTACCCAGGGACATCTACATAATTGATTCTTCCTTCCTCCCTTTTTCTCTTGGAACACTCACCCGACCTTGTGTAAAACGTAGATTTCCTGGGCCTCACAAGAATGTAACTATTTGCCTCACTCCCCCCTCCTTTCTTTCTGTACACTTTCCCTTAAATACTGAAGTTCCCAAATTCCCCTTCAGAAACACGGTCACAGATATGTCAGTGGTTTGCGTTTTTCCTGGGCACATCCTCAAACTTTGGCTTGATAAACCCCCATCGACTGAGATCTTTGCCTCAGTCACTTATTTTTGCATTGTCACTCTCAAAGGTCCCACCTGCAAATATCATCCCAATGGGGAATAGGGCTCCACCACATGACTTGTAGGGGCTATAACATTCAGTAGACTGAAAGTTAGTACTACTAACAGGTAGAGACATGGAACATACAAGAGAAACCAAACTGAACTTCCAGACATAAAAATCCTAAAATGAACAATACACTAGATGTAATTACTGACAAATTAGACACTGCAGGAAAAAGATTAGTGAACTTGAAGGCATATTATGGTGTGCAGAATAATACCCTTCTAAAGAGGCCCCTCTATCCTAACCCTAGAACCTTATGTTAATATGTTAATATGTATGTGAATATGTTAAGTTACATGGCAAGAGAGAATTAAGGTTGCAGATGCAAATAATGTTGCTAATTAGTTGACCTTCAGGCGGGACAATTATCCTGGATTATCCAGGTGAGTTCAATCTAATAACAAATCCTTTGAGGTAGAAGAGAGGACCAGAGAGATGCAATGTAAAGAGGACTCGACATGCTGTTTCTGGCTTTTTGTTTTGTTTTGTTTTGTTTTAGAGATGAGGTCTTGCTATGTTGCCCAGACTGGCCTGGAACTCCTGGGCTCAAGTGATCCTCCTGTCTCAGGCTCCGAAGTAGTTAGGATAACAAGTGCACTACTGTGCCTGGCCCCAGTGGAGTATTTTTTTTTTTTTTTTTTGAGACAGGGTCTTGTTCTGTCACCTGGGATAGAGTGCAGTGGCATCATCATAGCTCACCACAATCTCAAATTCCTGGGCTCAAGATCTTCTTGCCTCAGCCTCCCGAGTGGCTGGGGCTATAGGTATGCACCATCACACCCAGCTGACTTTTCTTTTCGTAGATATGGGGTCTCACTACGTTGCTCAAGCTGGTCTCAAACTCCTGGCTTCAACTGATCCTCCCACCTCAGCCTCCCAAAGTGCTAGGATTATGGGTGTGAGCCACTGCACTTGGCCAATGGAGTAATTTTTAACAATAAGGAATGGAGCTTTCTTTTATTATATAGCTGACATTCCACCTTTTTCACGTTTTCTAGAAAAATAGTATAAAAGACAGTTAACCTGTGGTATTCTATCTTGGAAATCATAGGCAAGTTTATAATGGTAACACAGGATTGTGTTTAACACACTTAAGACAGTAAAATCTTTTTAGCCCTTTTAGAAATACTGTCTTTTTTTTCATTTGGAGGCACAGTTATATCCAGTCACAATGGAAGAAGATTCTGGTTACATCCTTCTGGCTGAGGCTTTTAAAACACCTGGTCACTGACCTTCATAGTGTTCAAGTGGCCTGTCTCCAAAAGTGACTTCAGGGAGTTTTTGATCCTGTGTTCCCATTACTCGCCTCTAGATGGCGCCGCGACCAGCGCTCCACGCAGCGCCCGTGAGCCTCGAGGAGCCTCCCCTGCGGCTGGTGTGAACACGGTGCGTCTGGGCACCCCGTGCCCCTTCCCGCCTCCTCACAGGGACTCATGGTGGGTGAGAGGCCTGGATCCCTCAGGGTGAATTCAATGGCTCCATCTCTTTTGTTCCATCACAATCCCACTCACAAACACGAGTTTGAGGGCTCCGTCGCCCACCCAGCCCATCGAGCGGACGCCGCGCTAAGCACGGCCCGAGGCACCGTGGCCGAGGCTTCTCTGTTAACACGACCCGTGCCTTCTCAGACGGCAGCCGGCCAGACGCATCAGGAGCACCAAGAGCGGTGTCATTTCTGCCAGCCCAGCTGCAAGAGGGATTTTGGCTGTGACACGCTGTACCTGTCTCCTGAACGCCAATGGTCTAGTCACCAAAGAAAGCGCCATCGGTTAGGGGATGGTAAAGTTCAACGGGCTGGGTGGGGCGAGGGGGAGACTGGTCGGTAGCGTTGGCTGATTTCCATGGTGTGACTCTGAACCACAGCCAATCTCAAGCTACTGGACGTAGGAGGAACTGGGGAGCAGACATGCATGTCCCACGGTCAGTTCCTACGAGCAGGTGTGAGCTCACTCCAGCCGGCTTGGTTTTTGGTTATTTAAGTAAAATCCCTAATATAATACAAGTTTATTCACTTAGTCCTCATGTAATACATTAGATCTCTAAACTTGTTCATCCTACATATCTGCTATTTTGTATCCTTTGACCTACGTCTCCCCATTTCCTCTCTCCCTACCCATGCTAAGCACTATTTCATTCTTGATCTCTGTGTCTCTTTTTTTATATTCCTCATGTAAATGAGATCATGCAATATTTTCTTTCTGTTTGGCTTATTTCACTTAGCATAAAGTCCTCCAGATCCATCCATGTTGAGAAAAATGGCAGGATCTCTTTCTTTTTGTAAGGCTGAATAATATTCCATTGTGTGTGTCCACGTGTGTGCACACACACATACACCTTTTCTTTATCCATTCGTCCACTGGTGGACATTTAGGTTGTTTCCATATCTTTGCTATTGTGAATAGTGCTGCAGTGAACACAGAAGTGCAGGTATCTTTATGAGGTGATGATTTCGTCCTTTTTGGGTATACCCTCAGAATAGACTGCTGGGTCGCATGGTAGTTCTATTTTTAATTTCTTTAGGAGCCTCCATACTGTTTTCCAGGGCTGGATGCACCAACCCACATTCCCACTAACAGTGTTCTAGGGTTCCCTTTCTCCACCACACCCTAGCCAACATTTGTTATCTCTGATCTGTTTTTTTCTTGTCTTTTGGATAAGCACTTTTTCTTTCAACACAGATTTACTCCAACCTTCACCTGCCTCCTTGATGCAGGACAGAGCGAGGCAAATGAGGTGCCTAGGATACAAAATGTGAGGAGGCAGTCACTCTCAGGATCATGCAAGTGCAGGAGGTACAAGTGTACGGCCCTAGGAGTGACAACTTTGCACCCTAGGCACCTCAACGGCCACATAGCTTCTGCCATCCAATCATAAGTATATCAGCCCCCGTCCAGGCATCAGCGTCTCATCAGCACTACCCCACCCAGCCTTTTTATCTCATGGTATGTTGGCCACGCTGAGTCAAGGTCTAAAAGTCTATCCCATTTCTGGGGCCTACAGCAGTATTCGCTCGGCGTGACTCAGCAGCACTGGTTTTTGGTTCAGCGAGACAATTACACTTGCAAGACCCAAAACCAGTTTACTCGGTTTTGCAGAAGAATGTAAGTAAGGCAGGGAACACAGCATACTGTTTAGCAACAGGGCAGCATCCGCTACGTCCCTTCAATGCAAGTCCTCACAGCAGTCCAGGGCTATTCTATATCCCCCAAATGACAGCTTAGATGCAAGGAAACAAGATTACACAGGAAGGTGCAGGGGCCTCCCTAGCTTAGTGGCTTCGCGCCACATATGAAAAACCAATGCCTCTTGAACCTATGCAGGACTGGCCCAAGAGGCTTGCTCTCCCCTTCCAGGGCTAACAAGGACAACTGGGTGGGTGACACCACGTTCAGGAAAGCCCAGAGCTATGGCCTCCCCTCAAGTATTCAAGGTGCATTCGCAGTGCTCCCGCTCGGATGCACTCTGCCAGGCGAGGCTTCCGTTGACCCAGGCAGTGCTGCATGGGCACACAGCTGTCATCTCACCTTTAGGAGACTGCAGGGAAACAGCGCTGGAAGAAAATCAACAGGAGGCCATTTTCATAGAAGAAAAGAGAAAGGGTTTTTATTAACCCTTTACTCACATACACCAAGGCACAACACCATAAAATTTCATAATGTTGGGGATAAAGAAAATACCCTAAAACCTTCCAGATAAAAAAACAAGTCTCACTCAAAAGTTTCAGTAATTACAATAGCTTCACACCTTTCAACCGCAGCTCCAGAAACGAAGTCACTGGAAGAACATCTTCAAAATTCTGAGGAAAAATAACTTCAAAATTATAAATGCAGATCCACATAAACTATTATTCTAGCATAAAGGTGGATTCAGCATGCCAAGTCTTAGAAAATTTACCTTAATGTACCATTTCTCAGAAAACTTCTGTAGAACCCCCACCCCTACCACACCAAATAAGGAGGGATCCAAGAAAGAGTTGCAAGTCCAAGAAATAGGAGATCTTTCACAGGGAAGAAACAAAGTCTCAGAATGGTCGTGAGGAGAGATTTCAAGACATTCAGCACACCTAAAGAGCATATCATATCATAAAGCAGGATAAGGGGGAAATCCAGGGAAGTATATCCAGAAAAAAAAAGAGAGAGAAATGACAGAGTATCTAATATGTCTGAATATATTAAGAGGAAATTTATATTTTTCTCAAAGGATTTGGAGGTGAATTACTGATGGGATATAAAAAATTAAGGAAAAAAACAAACAAACAATTAATATGATAACCCTGGGGTACAAGAGGTACCTAAGCACAGAAAATCAACTCTCTGACTCAGCTATGACCTGTCTTTACTACACTGAGAGAATGGGAAGGGGGAAATGGACGTATGTTGGGAAGGAGAATGGTGGTCATCAGGTACTTTGGGTTCACTGACCTAACGGCCGTTTCTAACTCCCTTCTCCCTCGTCTCCCCACACTGTCCTCCCTGGGCTGGAAAGGCTCTTTACTCCCTTCTGAAGCTTGTAGCTATGGGTGACCAAGAAACTGTGCTAGTTAATCATCTGCAATCAGAAGTCTAAGAGTTTCTAGAAAAGCTTTCACTTTCCTTATTAAACAGGTAGGTTTGGCTGTCATCTGCTTTCCCTTTCTTTTTGTCTTAGACAAAAAGACTGATGCCTGAGCTACGACAGTCACAGCTGCACACAAGAATCAGAAACACACGCATGTTAAGGATGCTGGAACAGAAAGAACCCGAGTGACTTACGATGTCCATGAGCCACTGTACCAATCTGGACAGCCTACCTCTAGACTTATTAAAGGAAATCTTCCAGTCAGGTTTTCTGTTACTTTACAGCTGAAAGCAATAAAGAATTTTTTTTTTTTTTTTGGAGACAGAGTCTCACTGTGTTGCCCGGGCTAGAGTGCCGTGGCGTCAGCCTAGCTCACAGCAACCTCAAACTCCTGGGCTCAAGCGATCCTCCTGCCTCAGCCTCCCGAGTAGCTGGGACTACAGGCATGCGCCACCATGCCGGCTAATTTTTTCTATATATTTTTAGTTGTCCAATTAATTTCTTTCTAATTTTAGTAGAGACGGGGGTCTCGCTCTTGCTCAGGCTGGTTTTGAACTCCTGAGCTCAAACAATCCGCCCGCTTCGGCCTCCCAAGCAATAAAGAATTTTTAACTAACACATGGTATGTGTGGGCTAAAGACTCATTCTCTATAGTGGGAAGTCAACAGAAGATGTCTAAAAATTTAAAAATCAAAAAATAACATGTTGAAGCATGTTATTTACTTACAACATGACAGTAAGTACATGAAGACAGCTGAAAGAATTCAAACTGGTACCACTGAGGAGTGGGCACTGGGGACATGTGGGACAGGGGACTGCTGTTCTTCATTATAAGCCTATAGCAAGGCCTCTCGACATCAGCTCTAGTGACATTTTGGGCCAGATAATTCTTTGTTGTGAGGGGCTGCCCCGTGCATTGTTTCGCAGTGTCCCTGGCCTCTGCTCACTAGATGCCAGCAGCAACACCCCTCCTCCCCAGTTACGACGACCAAAAACGTTTGCCGCCATTGCCAAATGACCCTGCAGGGAAAAACTGACTCTGGTTGAGAACCACTGCCTCATAGTACTATTTTATCTTTTTTATTTTCAATAATACTGTAAATGTATTATTTTGATAAAATTAAATTATGGATAAAGAAATAGACAGTATGGAAAGAGCTAGACTGGAAACTGCCAATTGTCATTTCTCCCTTCAAACACTTCTCACTCTCCTGAACTGACCTCTCCCTGGGCCTAAGAATCCTACTCCTTCCCCCCCAGACAAGCAGAGCCAGAACAGAGATACTTACCACCCAGAAATGCACACTCGTAATGGCTGCAGGTCTTGTTTGTGCTTCGAAGGATAAGGTTATTGCCAGCCCCTTCCCGTGACACTTGAAAAACCTCACTCAGAGGTATTAAAGTAATTCTTTCACTTTCTTCATCAAAAAATTTTTCAATGGCAACTCCAAAGCATGTGTAGATGGATAACACAGTGAGCTGGTCATTAGCAGCTTGAGGTTTGGCTGAATATGCCAAGGTGAAACGGCCAAACCTGGCGTGGTTGAGCCCTCCAAATGTAAATGAGGTGTCCTGGCTCGTTCTATATACCACATTTTTATAACTGTCCTCACAAGGCCTTCTCAGAAACTGCAGGGCTCTTGTTAGGTAAAAATGAAAAGCTTTGAACTGGAAGCCGTAGATGTAATCTTTTCGAGACTGGCCAGCCGTCTTCACGGCTTCGCTGAACAGCCGGTAAAAGGGAGTCTGCTCTTGGGCTTCAGAAACGTACGCCGTCAAGGCTATCCCATGGTTATCCTTAAAATTCACAGGCAGAAAGAGCTGAGGCTTTCGGGCTTCCCATTTGGCTCTGGCGTTTTCCCATACGGTGTTTAAGAGCTGGTGGCTCCCTTTCTCCTCCTTGAGCAGCTGGGGAACGTATTTGATTTCCATCCTGTCCGCACATTTCAGGTATTCATCATCAAACGCATTATCTGCCATGTCTAACATCTCAGCCTTCACCTTCAAAGGAAAAGAAAATGAATATTCTTAAAATAAGAGAATTAGTGAATATCACTTTCTCTCACATTGCTGCTCCCGCCCTCTCATGCCCTGGCAAGAATCTTTCCTTGCTTATTTGGGTATGTTTTTGAGGTAGGAAGTATATTCCATTGCTATTGGAACGGTTCTCTCTGTGACGTTTATGTCTACGAAAGAGTGGGTGTCAGTGGGTGAGAGGCATGGGCAGGACTGCGCCTGCGCCTGCTGCATCTGGGCACCGTGGCACAGAGGAAAGAACGATGAGTGTGAAATTAAAGAATGGGTGGCAACCCCAGCCCCGAACAGTATTCTTACCCAGATTTCCTCAGACCTTCAAAACTGCTGGGAATCTAAAGTTATCATGTGTGAATCGCTGCGTCTGACAGATAATACGTGATGACAAACACTATCCCTTGTCCTTTGGGGACGCCCTCCCTTCTCCAGATGGCTTGGACAGAACTGATTTTGCCCCCTCAGCCAAAAGCACAAGCAAGTGATCCAAGTGATCCAGAACACTCCTTGAGGGGGAAAAAAGATCTTTCTTCCTTTAAAACCACAAGCTCTAAGGATAATATTGACCTGGGGCTTCCAACAAGTTATCCTTTTAGTCCCATGGAGAATCCTGTCTGAAAACAAACCAACAAAGAAAGGCTTGCAGAGCTAAGAGGCAGAGAGAGATGAACCCCCTAAAACATACTTGAGGCTGAGTCTAGCTGTACCTAAAGACTGTTTTACTCCAGTCAGAATAATCAATAAATTCCCTGATTGCTTGAGCTGGTTTGAATTGTGTTTCTGTCACATACAACTGAAAAGGCCGAATGCATCTCTAAATGACACACGTTCCACACCAATAAGCAGCAGGGTGGTATAATGTAATTAGCACTAATTTGAAGCCAGACAGATCTGAGTTCCAATGCCATTTCTGTTACTAACTAGGTATGAGAGTTACCTGACATTTCTGAGCTTCAATCTTTTCATTTAAAAATGAGATTAAAGGAAATAATATCTTAAGTGCAGGATTGTAGTGAGGATTAAATTACAAATGAGAATAAAGGAAATAATATCTTAAGTGCAGGATTGAAGTGAGGATTAAATTACACAATGAATACATGCGAAGCCCTTACACCTCCATGCCTGGCACATCTCAAGCCTTCAACACACTGTGGTTGTATTTTTATTATTTCATGATAGGAATATATGTATTATACTGTTAAGTTCTTCAAGGGCAGAACATTTATTTTTGAATCCCACCATATTTATCTTTGAATCCCAAGCACCGAGCACAGAACCTGGCAAAACATTCAAGTGCAAGTATAAGAACCCTATACTCTGGCTTATGGATCAAATAATAGGATGAGCAAATATGCCCAGGAATACCATTTATGGATTTCTACAGATAAAAGAATAGTGCCTCTTTTTCCACCATTCTATGCTTGCATGGTGCATGGCTGCACAAGTCTGCCTAGGACCTCAGCTGGAGACCTTACAGAGACATCCAGCCAGGAGCTATTAAAATTACAGTTTTGATGTGAATAATTCTTTTAAAAAAATGTGTGTGTGTGTGTGTGTGTGTGAAACAGAGAGAGAGAGAGAGAGAGAGAGAGAGAGAGAGACTGAGACTGACGTAAAAAAGCAAAACAAAACTTGGTCACATGTCCATCTTATTCTAGTTGTATCTTCTTTCCACTATCTCTCTTCTGCCCCTCACAACCAAACTTTTTTTTTTCCCCTCGAACTTCTGGGCTCAGGCAACCCTCCTGCCTCAGCCTCCTGAGTTGCAGGGATTACAGGTGTGAGCCACCATGCCTGACACAACCAGCTTCTCGAAAGAGACGTCTATCCTTGCTATCTCCACTTCATTTCCCACTTGTATCTCAACTCTCAAGCATTCTGGTTCCCACCGCCATTCCTGCATGCAAACAGCTCTCACTAAAGGGGCATTTCTTTTTAGACCCCTTTGCAGACCTGCCATATTCTAGCTGGCCACTAAATGTTGGAGTTTCTCAAGGCCACTTATTTTCGAACTCTCAACTCTAACCCTAGGTAGTTATGTACGTGCTGACAGTTTCAATTATCATCTATATACCTCTGACCTGTCCTGTAAGTGCCAGACCTACATACCAAATGCCTACTTAACTTAACACCTCCACTTGAATGCTCAAGGACCCTTCAAACGTAACCTAAGACCAAACTTAGAATCTTACTTCAACACAACCACCTGCTCCTTATTTAAGACCATTTGTTCATTTGTGAAGTTTTCCTGTATCTCTCCTTCTCAGTCACCCTGTGTGGCCACTTCACCATTAAGGCCTCACAAACGTCTCCAGAGTTCTTTCCATATGCCAGGCACTAAGTGCTTGCTATGAATTACCTCATTTAATCCTCGGGGCAACCTTGTGAGGTAGGTACAATTATTAGTCCCCTTTTTTAAATACGAGGAAACTAAGACATAGATTGAGATTTATACAGAATTGGGATTTGAAACCAGGCAGTCTGGCTCCAGAGTCCTGTCCTCTTAATCAAAATCTTCTGTTGCCTCTAAAGAATGAGAATATTTCCAATGATGAAGACCACCGACATTGATATAGCACTTTTTAAAAAGTATAATTTTGTCTTCATGACAACCCTCACAAAAGGCTGGGCAATTACGAACATCATTTTACAAATGAGAGAACTGTGCCAGCATCAGAAACTGTCTTAACACCAGCCACAGAGTATTCTGCCGGGGAAGTCACTGAAACCCCTGTATCCTGGGTTTGTAGGTCAGTTTCTTGATATGGGAATTTGAGCTTTAAGAGATCAAATCACTGCTGTCTCATAGCCAAGAAAGGCACTTTCTTTGGCAGCACAGAATGTACCAGAGTGCAGCTTGGGCACCAATGCCTGATTTACCTTCAAGACTTCAACATAGTATAAGACACCAGATCCTGAAAGCACCTCCCACATTCCTCACATCCTATCAGACTTGATCTAGTATGTTCCTGTCTTTTCCCTATGCCTCTAACCAGTCTCCAAATGTCTAATTTTAGACATCAAGCCTTTCTGGCCAGACACCACAGCTGATTGTGTGTTCCGGACACTGCGTGCCTTGAGTGGTGAAAAAGCTCTCAAATGCCACCACTACTCGGGGACAACTGAATGAATACTAAGAAATAGGTACAAAAGGCTTGGTGAACAAGCTGATTACATTTTCTTCCTCTGATCTATCCATTGAAACAACAGCTCATTTGATGAAATTCAATCACCAAAAATTTATTACAGAAACATAGAAATGACCTAAAGTTCAAGGAGAAAAATTGGTTAAACAAATTATGGAACATTCATAGAACAAACACATTAAAATTATGTTGCAAAAGAATATTGAATATGCAAATCAAAACCATAATGAGATACCACTTAACACCCACTAGGACAGCTATAATGATAAAAACAAAATAAAAAACGAAAAATAACGAGTAAAACAAGGATGCAGAGAAATTAGAACCCTAATACATTGCTGGTGGGATTGTGATACTGTGCAGCCAGTGTGGGAAACAGTTTGGCAGTTTCAGAAAAAACTTAAACGAAGTTACCATATGAGCCGACACTTTCTACTTCTAGTCATACACCCAAGAGAACTGAAGCATATGTTCACAACAATGAGTAATTCCGTTATCATGTATCATAAACTGTAGCTCCCTCAACCCATTTTCACATATATATGTACTTTTACATATAAAAGTAAACTTCACTCTGCAATGATATCGAATAACCAAACAGTGCTTGTATTATCTCCATATATGTCAATA